TGGAGGCAAGTGACCAAAAGAGAAGTTGATCAGAAAGACAGTCTTTGTGCTAGGAACGGTCAGGGGCTCTTTGGAATAGAGGTGTTTAACAATCAATGCCAAATTCCCATCAGAACTATGAGGTGATATGAACCCCCATGGATGCTTTGGGGAAATCATTGCACTTCCCCAAAGGGTGGTTGCTCATCTGGCCATTGCAAGGAGAAGGGAACCGCCAAAGCTCCTGAGAATCCTCAATGATCCCAAAGGAGTGGCACGCAGTTCCGCTGAATAACTCAGGTAGAAAGAAAGCTGACCTCTTAACCCTGAAGGATTTGCCAAATATCGCCCCTGGGTGGTCTTTTGATGTCACCTATGTCCCCTGTTTTTGAGCACCTGGAAGCAATCCTAGTGTTACCACTGGAAGAGTCCATGACACTGTTACAGAAGATGAACCTGAAGCCCAGAGAGGTAAAGGGACCTGCTGGAGGCCGCACAAGTTCCAGGTGGAGCTGAGTGGATTAGCCACAGTGTGTCTGGGTCCTCTAGCCCCATGAATGCTCGCAGACACCCGGGTGCAGGCATTTTTTTTTAAATTTCAGATTTAGGGGGTACACGTACAGGTTTGTTACATAGGCATATTGTGTGATGCTGAGGTTTGGGTTTCTATTGAACCTGTCACCCAAATAGTGTACAGAGAACCCAATATGTCGTCAATATGTCGTTTTTCTTTTTTTCTCTCTTTTTTCTTTTTTTTTTTTTTTTTTTTGAGACAGAGTTTTGCTCTGTCCCCTAGGTGGGAGTGCAATGTCACAATCTTGGCTCACTGCAATCTCTGCCTCCTAGGTTCAAGAGATTGTCCTGTCTCAGTCTCCCAAGTAGCTGGGATTACAAGTGTGTGTCACCACACCTGGCTAATTTTTGTATATTTAGTAGAGGTGGGTTTTCATGTTGGCCAGGCTGGTCTTGAACTCCTGACCTCAGGAGATCCGCCCGCCTCGGCCTCCCAAAATGCTGGGATTACAGGCATGAGCCACTGTGCCCGGCCAATATGTCATTTTTCAACCCTTATCTCCCTCCCTCCCTCCCTCCCTCCCTCCTCTCATCATCCCCAGTGTCTATTGTTGCCGTCTTTATGTCCATGTGTACCTATAATGTTTAGCTCCCACTCAGAAGTGAGGGCATATGGTATTTGATTTTCTGTTTCTATGTTAATTTGCTTCAGATAATGGCCTCCAGCTGTATTCATGTTACTGCAAAGGACATGATTTCTTTTTTTTTTTTTTTTTTGAGACGGAGTCTCACTCTGTCGCCCAGGCTGGAGTGCAGTGGCATGATCTTGGCTCACTGTGACCTCTGCCTCCCAGATTGCAATACAAGCAATCCTCCTGCCTCAGCCTCCTGAGTGGCTGGGACTACAGGTGTGCACCACCACACCCAGCTAATTTTTGTATTTTTGGCAGCCACAGGGTTTCACTATGTTGGCCAGCCTGGTCTTGAACTCCTGACCTCAGGTGATCCACCTGCCTTTGCCTCCCAAAGTGCTGGGAGTATAGGAGTGAGCCACTACACCCAGCCAATTTCATTATTTTTATGGCTACACTGTATCCCATGGTGTATATGTACCACATTTTCTTTATCCAATCCACCACTGATGGGCACCTAAATTGATTCATTGTCTTTGCTATGGTGAATAGTGCTACGATAAGCATACAAGTGTGTTGGAGGCCGAAAGAATGAGGGTCGTGATCAACTCAGTATACCACTGAAGGCTATATGAGCAAACAGCAAACTGTTCTCATAAATGCAGAATGTTGGCAAAAAACTGACAAACTGCGTCTGCCGCCCAGAAGGAATGCTGAGGGCAGTCACGCCCCAGGCACAGTGTTTGTGATTATCTACAGGCATACCTGAAGCCTGTTAGCAATCATGTGAACCTGTGATAAATCAAGCAGCTGACCAATGGTTACCTGCTCCTCCCTGCTCTTTCTGCCCAATAAATATGGAGGGCTGTGGAAGCTCAGGGCCCTTGCTCACTAGAGGCAAGGAGCCCCCTGACCCCTTCTTTAAAACAGATTCTTTTGTCTTAAGTTTTAATTTCTGCGTTCGTCCTCTTTTGTTCAGTCCCGTAGTAACTGTCACAAGTGGCACCCAAACAGGGATGGACAGGGACAGACAGGGACAGATAGAGACTAGCAGGGACTTGCAGAGATTAGCAGAGACAGACAGGGACATGAACGAGGAACGTCTGCTGGAGCAGAGAAAGTGAAACTGACCAGATGAACGAGAAACCCCAGGACGAGTCTGCCGGCAGTGGATATAAGGTCAGTGACCTAAAGAGGTACTGGGAGTGGGAAGTTTCTGAATCAGGGTAACATGGGCAGAATTTGTTCATTATTTCTGTTTTTTCTGTTTGGAGTTTGGTCTGTACTGTCCTTTTGTCATTATTTCAAAATTTGAAATAATTTTGTGCCCCACCCACAGCACCTATCGAGGGTGGTGAACAGGAGAGGGAGGGTGAAGATTGGCCTGTACCATCTTCTTCTGTGGCTGCAGCAATACTAACTTTAACTTTGGCTTTGAGAAGGCAAACGTGGATTGCAAACATGCACTGGCACCTGTGAGATGTACAAGACGCTTAGGAAATTTTCTCAGAGCTTGTCAAGATGTGGGAAATTGAGCTTCATCGCTCTACAATGTTGGCTCAAGCAGTGGCTAATTTAGTAGCTGATAAACCTAAAAGGAGCCAAGGGTCAAACCCTAAAGTGGAAAAATGTTATAATTGTGGAAAAATTGAACATTTCAAAAAAGAATGCCGTCAGATCTCCAGAAAGAAGGGATCTCATAACACAGTTCCCTCCCCCGCAATAGCAAAAACACCAGGACTTTGCCCTTGTTGCAATAAAGGAAATCATTGGGCTAATCAATGCCATTCAAATTTTCATCAAAACAGCACCCCCCTGTGGGGAAATGACAAGGGGGCCTGAACCCGGGCACCTCAAACAATGAGGGCATCCCCAGTCCAGGACACAACTCCGTTTCAGGGGTGGGTTTCGGAAGGCACACTGATTCCCCCTCCCCAGGAACACCTGGAAGCACAGGATTGGCTCTCCCAGTCAGAGAATGCGTTACGTTAGTTGGAGGAGACAAACCCACCAAGATTCCCACTGGTATTTGTGGACCTTTGCCAACAGAATACATGGGATTAATTTTAGGCAAAAGCTGTCTTAACTTACAGGGCATTACTGTAGTCCCAGGAGTTGTTGATTCAGATTATGAAGAAGAAATTCAAGTAGTGGTAATGTTACAAGATCTTTGGGTTTTCGAACTGGGAGAACATATTGCTCATCTGTTGCTTATCCCCTGCAAATTACACCCTTCTTGACGAAAGAAGAAACAAGGGAATCAAGGATTTGGAAGTATAACTAGGAGGGAAATTTATTCATCACAACCAATAGCATCTAGTAGACCCACTTGTGCAGTGCAAATTAAAGAAAAGAAGTTGTGTGGGCTTATGGATACAGGAACAAGAGACTGGCCTCTTGCAGTAATGGATCTTGGAGATTTTTTTTTCTATACCTTACATGAGAAGGATAAGCCTCAAGTTGTTTTCTGTGCCTTCTGTTGGAGAAAGCCTGTTTTTCATTATCAATGGAAAGTTTTACCCCAAGGCGTGCTCAGCAGTCCTAACGTTATGTCAGCATTTTGTAGGAAAAGAATTAAGGAACCTCAGAATATGTTTCCCACTGCCTATAGATTTATCAACGTGGAGACAAGGGTATGCTTGTGTTTTTACAGGAGATGGACAAACCATGTGGGTGCCCTCAAGGTGTGTGCAGCCATGGAACAGGAGACTGGAGGGAACCATGGATCCCAACCATGGGCCTGGTTCCCCTGGTACGAGCCATGAGTCAGTTGAATCTGAATGTGAAGATGGAATGAGGACTGACCAGAGTCACACTGACATCAACCCCCATAACATGAGGACAGATTTTGTTCAATTAATGTAAAAACAAAAAGGGGGAGATGTTGGAGGCCAAAAGAAGGAGGGTCGTGATCAACTCAGTATACCACTGAAGGCTATATGAGCAAACAGCAAACTGTTCTCATAAATGCAGAATACTGGCAAACTGTGTCTGCTGTCCAGAAGGAATGCTGAGGGCAGTCACGCCCCAGGTGCAGTGTTTGTGATTATCTACAGGCATACCTGAAGCCTGTTAGCAATTATGTGAACCTGTGATAAATCAAGCAGCTGACCAATGGTTACCTGCTCCTCCCTGCTCTTTCTGCCCAATAAATATAGAGGGCTGTGGAAGCTCAGGGCCCTTGCTCACTAGAAGCAAAAGCAATGACTCCTTCTTTAAAGCAGATTCTTTTGTGTTAAGTTTTCATTTCTGTGTTCATCCTCTTTTGTTCAGTCCCATGGTAACTGTCACAAGTGGCGTTCGTCCTACGTTCAGTCCCGTAGTGACAATCACACCAGTGCAGGTATCTTTTTGGTGAAATGATTTCTTCTCCTTTGGGTAGATGCCCAGTGATGGGATTGCTGGAATGAATGGTAGTGCTATGAAAAATCTCCAAACTGCTTTCCACAGGGGCTGAACTAATTTACATTCTCACCAATAGGGTATAAGCACTCCCTCTTGTCTGCAACTTCACCAGCATCTTATTTTTTGACCTTTTAATAATAGCCATTCTGACTGGTGTGAGATGGTAACTCATCATGGTTTTGGTTTGCATTTCTCTGATGATCAGTGACATTAAGCACTTTTTCATACATTGTCACTTGTATGTCTTGTTTTGAGAAATGTCTGTTCATGTCCTTGGGTACGAGCACTTAGAAGGAGCATCTTCTGGGGAAGGGGAGTGTGCAGGGGCAAGACAGGAAAGGAAGACATTGCAGAAAACAAGACATGTCACTCTGACTTCCATTCTAGAGTCATCTGTGCTGTGCTCCCCAGCTCTCACTTTCTCCCAAAGCCATCCACCAACCCCAACCAAAGACAAGCAGAGCCAGAAGCCTTTGCTTTCACATTTAATCCAAGGAAAAGAAAAAACCAGTCAGTGAGAAAACTCAAGAATTGGATGGCTGAGGGAGGGGACAGAGGAAGGGCACTGGGGCTGGGACTGAACATGGACAGTGGATGGTAGGGTCCTCACTCTCCTGAGGTCCCTCAAATATAAGAGTCCACAATGGCAGGGAGGGAGAAGAGTCACAGAGCTAATGTGGTGGGCACACACACCTGTTCCAACCCAGCCCCAGCCCTGTCCCAGGTGAGCCAAGGACTGACAGCCTCTGCTCCCACTTGATAGGTACCTGGGAGGGCTGTGGAGTGGGGCTCAGGCAGGGGAGGTAGGAGGCTGTTCAGAGAGGAAGGACTGAGAAGAGACAGGAGGGAAGGGCTCCAGGCCTGCCCCTTGGCATCACTAGCAGTGAGGGTGCCATGAGGGCCAGGTACCCAACCCATCTCCATCAGAGATGATGGTCATTTGGACCAAGGGGGCAGAGGCAGCTGCAACAACAAATCTTCCCCTGCCTCTACCCTCAAGTCGCCTCTACCCTCAAGTCCCCCAGGGAAGGTAGGAAGTGGCAAGTGACCCCATAGCCTCAAGTCAGCAGGAAAACACCCCATTTCCTTCCCACTCTCTTAGGCTGAGGGTGATGCAAGGGACAGCTGAACTAGGATGAAAGGACACTGATCAAGGGAAAAGAGGAGCAGGAAGATGAGTGCGTAGTATATGCAGAGGCACACCAACGAGATGGGGCAGGCCTGGCCTTTCCACCCCATGTGTATACTCTATGCAAATGCAAATGAGATTCCTAGTATAAGAAATATATTCTAACATTTGTAATAAATATTCTGTTTATTCTCCTTCCCCTTCCCTAGGAAATGGGCACACAGTGGTTCAGGGGCCAGCTTTGGCTGACGCTGCAGAGAAGACTAGTTAGACACTTGGAAGAACTGGGAGGCACAGGGGTTTGGACTTGGGGTGTCCCAGGTTGTCTCCTCTGAGGACAGGCTCACCCCGGAAGGAATGCAGAGAACAATGAAGGATGAGATGCCCAAATACATCTAGGACAGCATTCTTAAAGGGAGTCTCCTATTTTACAAAACTGCCCTCCCCAAGTTACGGCAGGAGGGCATTTAGGGTAGAGGGACAATAGGACAAGGGAGAAAACATCAGGAAAGGACCAGGGCTTCGGAGTCTGGGATCAGGGTATTATAAGAAATGAGGGCTGATGGGGAACCCCCAGAAAGGGGCCCCAAAGAGAGACCTCCAAAACAAAACAATCCTTTGCTTCCTCGCCAAACTAAACCTGACACACACACACACACACACACACGCACATACATATACACACACCCCAGTGCCAGAGGCACAGACAGGCGCCAAGCATGCACATGGAACCACAGGCTGTGCAGACTACAGTGTAAATGGCGCCCCCTGGAGTTGTGTGTGAGGAACCTCCTGGTGGGCAACTGTCCTTCAAGCCCAGGCTCCCAAGGTCCCCTCTGAACTCCTCCTCAGCCCCTCCAACCCGGCAGCCCTGACGCAAGTGGGTTACCTGGACCTGGCTAGAGAAAAAACCAAAATGGACCAAGGTCAAGGACACAGAACCCAGACCTGTGCCTGCTGTGGGCCATGGAGAGCTTGGGGCTCTTCAGTTGGTAGCAGCAGGTTGTCACAGGGCTCAGCCCTCCATCCCGCGCCTACCTGGGCTGAGCCCACTGACCCCTGCCAGCTTGGCCCTGTGGGGAGCAGGGCTGACATGTCAGGACACATTGGAAAAATCTGGAAAAACTTCGGCAGTGAGAAGCTGTGGATGAGGGAGGGACCGAGCAGCATCTGCCCTGTGACCCTGCCCCTTTCTGAGGGAGCTGGGAGCTACAGTGCTCTGCAGCTGTGGCCACTGGCTCTCACTCTGACTCCTCCAGCCTTCAAGATGGCACCAGGCTGGCACCACCACCCAGGCCTGTCTGGCTGCCAGTGGGACATGCATTCCCCTGGCCACATGGAAACAGCCCAAGGCCTGCTCCTGCGACACAGAGGTAAGAGGTGGAAGGAGTCCAGGAATGGGGTGGGTGTGGCCAGTCCAGAGGAGTGTGACTGGGGAGGGGTGGCAAGGGGCAGTGTACCTACTGACCATGTGGTCCCAAAGCAGCTTTTATCTTCTCTGTACTGACCATTATGGAGGTGACTCTGACACATTCTTGGGCATGGCTCGGCCCTCAGAGATATCTGGTGGCCAATGGGCATTGGGAGTGGGCAGCACCTGGGCACAGGGTACCCCATGAATGCCCACCTCCCTGGCAGTGCACGCCTCTGCGCTGAAGCCAGACTTAGGGCCTGCTGGGAGCCATTACCCAAGGAGAGCCAGATATAGGGGCTAAGGATTGTGGCAGGGGGTCACAGGTCAGGAATGGGATGGATTCAGGTTCTGGGTTTCAACACAGAGTGGGCTGAGGACCAGGTGAACAGGCTCAGTACACCCAGCTGACAGGCACCCACTGGGGCTCTGTCCGTAGCTTCTCCATGGCCGCCTGGAGCTCGCGGAAGGTCCTCTCCAGGTTGCTATTGACCAGGCAGAGGTCAAAGTAGTGCCCGTAGCCCCTCTGGATGCGGCTGCTCTCCTCCACTGTCCGTCTCAGGTCCGCCTCCTGCCCAGGCACAAGGGGACCTCCCTACAGTCAGTTCCTACAACTCACCCCCACTGTCAGAAGGAGCTACAGCTCCCCCACACCCCCTCCCCAAAGCCCAACCCTGGTGTGGACTCCCTGGCTAGGGAGGGAGGGGCCCCTCTCTGTTTGCCTCAAAGTGGCTCACCATCGACCACAAACAGATGATGAGTGAAAGGGAGGAAATAAGCTTTAGTAACTGCCAATCACACCCCTAAATGCTTTGCATGCCACATAATCTTCACTACAGCTTTGCAAAGTAGGATTAATTCTTCCCCATTTATAACAGAAAATTAAGGTACAAAAAGGTCACACAGACAGTGGCTAAACAGGGTCTGCCTGACTCTCAAGCCAGTGCTCCCTCAAGTCTGACTAGGCTGCCTTACCTATGCAGCATGACAGGCTGGTACCAGGGCAATCCACAAGTACCCAGGACAACCCCACCCTCGACCCAGTGGAAGCTGGCTGGGCAGAGGTGGGGAAGGGTACTTGACAACTGACTTAAATAAGCTGAAGCTAGCTATATCCCAGCAGCTCCGGTTGGCCACACCTTTTGCCAAGGAGGAGGTGCCCAGAATGGGAATCAGGCAAGGGTCCAGAGCTCCTAAGGGGGTCACTGGCAGAAGGGTGCCAGCCTAGACAGCCTCTTCTGGGCCCCAGCCATGCTAGAGGGTGGGGTTGTCCTGGGTACTTGTGGATTGCCCTGGTACCAGCCTGTCATGCTGCATAGGTAAGGCAGCCTAGTCAGACTTGAGGGAGCACTGACTTGAGAGTCAGGCAGACCCTGTTTAGCCACTGACTGACTGTGTGACCTTTTTGTACCTTTTGTACCCGGGGCCTGAGTGCAGCAGCACCAGGCATGGCCAGCAGAGGGACCCCTGCGCTCAGAGCTCTGCAAACCCTCCACCTCCTGGGAAGGCGCAGCAAGACACAGGGTGGAAGGAGGAAGAGGCCAGAGTCCTGCAATGCAGGCTTGAAGCCTCTCCTCCAGGCACTGCCTGCTCTCTTACACTGACTCACCCCTCCAGCCAGCCTTCCCGCCTCTGCCTTTCTCCTACCTTTCAGCTTCCCCCCAGCTATAAGCAACCCAAGCTCACCTGGCCCACCTCCTGCCCACCTCTTCCACTGGCCCTCTGGAACTCTCTCTGGCCAGCTTTCTGCCCCTGCAGAGTGGGCTGAGCTGGGGGCCTGGAGTCAGAAACACATGTGTCCCAGGCTAGCTGTGTGCCTGGCTCACTCTGAGACTTTGGACTTCCTCTCTCAGACCTCCCGTTCCACATCTACGCAGTAGGGGACCACGTCCTGCCTCACCGATAACTGGAGCAGGCCCCTGTCCCTCCCCAACACCACCTCCTTCTCTCTCTCTGTCAGCTCAGGCCTGTCCCCCACCACCCTAGGCAGCCATTGGACGCCTCCCCCACACCTCAGAGCCCTCACCGTGAGCTGCTTGGTGGACACTCCACTCTCCAGCGCGGCCCTGTTCATGGCCCGCAGGGTCTCGAAGTCTGGGGCCTCGATGAACACCACGTAAGGGACAAACTCGGCCGTTCGTAGCACCTTCACCGCCTGCAGAAGGAGAAGGTAGGGTAGGGAGCATATCCCCATGTCTGTCCTGGGAACCAGAGAAAGGCTGTGAGGGTGACTGGGGTTGGGGTGGGCACTTGGGAGTGGGTGGAAAAGGGTGCCTAGGGGTCTGGGACATGAGTCCTGGGACAAATGACATATAGCTGGCAGGTGGCTGGGTGACTGGAGGAGACTAGAGGAGGAGTGGGGGCTCTGGAACGCTGAGAAAGGTTCCAGGTAGGCTGGGTTTCAGCAGTAGTTGAGGGCAGAGGGGGTACACGGGTGTGCTCAGGTGACAGGTACCTGGAACTATGGGGGAGCACTGAGGCAGCAGAGAGGACATTAGGCAGGCTGGGAAGGAGCAGAGTGGCAGTACCTGAGGGTTGACATCCAGCACGCACACCTTCCCAGCAGCGACCACGCCCCGGATGGAGTCAATACGTGTGCCATACAGGTTGCCCTCGTATTCGCCATGTTCCAGGTAGCGCCCAGCACGGATGTCAGCCTCCATCTCCCCACGGGACACAAAGCTGTAACCCTGACCTTCCCGCTCTGAGTCTTTGGGCCGCCGGGAGGTGTCTAGGGGGATGGGGGTAGGTTGGGCCGAATGGGCACGGGCAGGTCACAGTGCCTCAGACACATATACGCACACTTACCCAAGCCCCCTGTTTCCCAGTCTTGGGGGTGCAGTCTGCCCCTCATCTTGCCAGCACTGCTGCCTTTGCACACACCTGCCCCCCACCCTCCCCACTGGCACACACAGAGACATGAGGTGGTAACCTTGGTCTAACCCAGAGCCCACAGATGAGAGGCTGAGGTACAGAAAGGGCAATGTACAGCCCAAAGCCACACAGCAAGAGCCAAGCAGACCAGGGCAGCGCTCTTAGTCCTGCCTCTGGCAGCCAGGAGCTTCCCCCACCCCCGCTGGTTCTGCCACTAAGAAGCCCTGTCTTCCACAAGGCTACACATACACAGCTCATAGCCGGTTTCACCCGGGTGCACAGCTGGGCACTCACTTTCTTCACGGCTTTTAGCAAGTGAAACAAGAGAAGGAAAGGGGACGCCAGCCCAGCCCACTAGGCCACCTGTTGGCAGGACACCTCCCTCATCCTTCCTGAGCCTGAAGTTCCCCTACCTACCCACAGAGGGCGTGCACCCCAACCCGTACACCCAAAGGTACCACCTGGCCTGGCGCCCATGAAGATGCCCATTCGGTAGGCTCAGCCCTGGCCCCCAGGGGAGCCCCTGCTCCCTGTCCCCGACTCAGCAGGGCCCAGCTCCCACTCACAGGGCACCGTGGTGCCATAGCGATCTGGATCCCACATGATGAGCTTGTTCTTCAGGCTGCGCCGTCCCACGCCCTGAGCCCCAATCAGCACCAGGGTTTTCCGGCGGAACGGGGGCATGCGGGCCACCTCCTCATAAATGAGCAGCTCATGACGGTCAAACTCTGGACACAGGGAGATGGTGCTGCTCACCAGGCTGCATGGTGAGGGAGGGGCGGAGCTCTCAGGGAGGCTGAGGGCAAGAGGGCTTAGAACAGGGGAGCAAGGGGGAGTCGAGCAGGGCCTAGGGACACGGCTGGCAGCATCTGAGCCAGGCACACATCTTCACGGGTGATGCGTGGGGACAGGGAAAGGCAAGCCATGTTAGAGGAGGACAAAGGGGGGGACACTCTGATACCCACCTGCATTCTTGGTGGTCAAATACATCATTCGCTTCTTTTTCTTTCCTGAAAGGCTGCCGCATAGGGTCCCTGGCCATAGGGAGATGGGTGAGTGAGGCAGACAGGGCCCTGTCGGATCCCAGATTGGAGATGTGGGGTAGGGGGGAACCTCCTACCTGAGTTTGGTGTCAGCTCCAGGTCCCTCTTGACAAATGCTTTCCGCTTCTCCTCCAGCAGCTGGCTGGGGATGAGCCCAGCACTGCCCCCTTCAACATGGCATGCCTGAAACGGACATGAGACCAAGATCTGCCTGAGCAAGAGGACCCCTCCCTGTGCCCTTGCCCTCCCATGTACCACACCTGGAGAGATGCAGGGGTGCCCGGGGCTCACCTGCCACCAGTTGGCATCGTCCTGGTTTACGATCTGGAGCAAGTCCCCAGCGTTGAAGCGCAGGCCTGCTTCCTTGCAGGGGATGAGGCTGTCTCGGGCCGGGTCATAGTCAAAGTGACATTTCACAAATACCTGGGCCCAGGAATCAGCAAAGGGTCGGGGGAAGGGGCAGTAGAAGGCTGCAGGTGGAGGTCTACCCCATGCCCCCTCTTTTCACAAAGACACAAGGGGAAATGGAACTGTCCCCCTGCAGGAGTGATGCCTCCAGGCCTGCCCATGTGCCTCCCTGGTGCCAACCTCCCTTCACATCTAGTACTACAGGATTCAGATCTTAGGACCAAGGATGTGGGACCACCAAGTAGGGGACAGGACCCTGGCATCTAATCCTGGATCCCTCCCTCCACTCACCCTCTACCCTTGGAGAAGGGCTCTGGCAGAGGGCGAGAGAGCCAATAGGAGAGGTAGATAGAGCAGCCAGACCCCCAGAATCCACCAACTAGGAGACAGTTGTCCAGGACATACGACAACGCCACCCACCCTGCGCATGCGCACAAACATGTGAAGAACGCAGACCACGATACAGGCGCTCTCTCATACACTCTGGTACCCCAGGCTGTGGCTGCATGCATAATGCCGGCCAATGCGGGAGCACGTGCAGGTGCAGCAGAGGCAGAGGCCTGTCAGCGGCTGCAGTCAGCTGCCCCTGGGCTGCAGGTCCCACCCTCATCTCCCCTGGAGGAAACCAGTAGGAGAGGAGGGCCTCAGTGAGACTTGCAACCCTGACAGCCAGGAGGCTCGGCCATCCCTTGGGCCTTCTGCTGAGAGAGGGGCTGGTGGAGGGGCCCACCTGGCGGGGCAGATGGGGCTCCTGGTAGCTGGGCAGGATCTTGAGGATGACGCTGCCACTGGCATTGCGCAGGAGCTCCTGCAGTGCACGGGGGTCACTGCCCACTGGCTGCCCGTTCACCTCCTTGATGATGTCACCCACATGCAGCAGGCCTTGCTGAGCCACCATGCCCCCATGCAGAATGCGTGCGATCACCAGCTCGCCGCCCTCCACGCGGAACGTTACACCCTGGAGGTCAGAGGGAGAGTGTAAGATGAGGACCCGATTGCTCCAAGTCAGAATCTTCAAATACTCTTCTAATAGCACCTCCATTCCTGTCCCCACCCACCCACCCCCGCACTCACAAAGTCGTCCTCCATCCTTCTGCCTAAATTCTTCACTTAGAGCAGGTACTAATGGCGGGCGGAAGCGGGCAGACTGGAGAGATGCGGACACAGGTGAGTGTGCAGTGTCTATGGTCTCCTGGGTCTGCATGGGCCCTTCCCTGCACAAAGCTGGCCCCATCTTCATCTTCAGACCACGCTTGGCCTTTTTTTGTCCCCTCATTGGTTATTCTCAATCCCCCACCCTCACCAGCCCCGCCTCTGGCCCTGCCCAGTCCTCACCAGATGTTCTCCGGCTGTCTTTCGGATGCCCACCATGCGCACGGCGTCGGGAGGTACGGGCTGGTTGCTGAATGTAGGGTCCAGGCCAGGGCTGGGGGGTGGTGTCTCATAGGTCTTTGAGGCCACAGAGTCATGCGTCTCCAGGAGGGACTAGGGGGTGGTAGGAAAAGAAGGGACAATGGGGCAGTGCCCCAGGTCTCTTCCCATCCCAGCTCCAACTTCCTGCCGGCCCCTCCAACAGCAGCATGCCCCGGTCCACCCGCCTCCTGCTCCCTCACCCCAGCCCCAGCGGCCAGGAACCTGGAAGTGGGGCTCCTGGAGGATGTGGGCCAGCTCGGCAGCAGTGCTGCTCTGCTCAGCCAGCTGTGCCAGGTCCCGCAGGATCTCCTGCACCAGCTCCAGGTTGTTGTCTCTCACAGCCTCCAGCTTCGTCTCCTCCAGCCTCTCATGGGCCTGGGGATGGAAGCAGAACAGGTGTGGCTAGGAGCTTCCCCAGGAGCCCTGAGACACCAAGCAGGGTCCTCCTCAGTCCCCAGGCATTTTCCCCACCCCACCCCCAGCCCCCAGCTTCAGCTCCTCACTCACTGACACACAATAATACCCACACGTGCACATTCTTTCCTTGCTATCTCCTTTCTTCCCCAAAATGACTCAGACCTACTTTAGGGAAGGAAGAAACCAAAGGACAAACTTTCCTTTCCATCCCTTTGCCACAGAGGGTCATTAGAAGTTACCAAATTGTCCCCAGCTCCCAGGACCCTATATGCATTGGCATTCAAAAATAGCTTCTTCCACCGGACATCATGGTTGGGTGGGGTCTTGAAGACCCTGAAGCCCCGGATGAGGAAGTTAGGGAGGTGGAATAACTTTCCCAGGGTCACTAGGACTTGAACTTGCATCTCCAGGCTCTCAACTCAGTGTTCCCAGTGAATGAGGGGACATGAAATCAGCACGTGGTGCCAGAAGCAGGCCCCACACCTATTTGTCGCTCTGCTGGCTCCGGGTTCCATACCAAGGTGCGCTGAAAACGGAAAAGGAATCCTTTGCCAGTGACCAGCCCAGGGGGGAGTGTTAGGTTAGGTGGGTCAGGAAGAAAGGAATTCCATTTCAAGAGTATATATGAAGACCTTTTTTTCCCCTCTGAATCTTTGAAAGATCATTGCAGACAACACAAGCCACTTTATCCCAAAGTATTTCAGCATGTATTTCATAGGAACAAAGACATTCTGCTGCATAAACCACAATACCATTATCACCTGCAAGAAATTGCACATTGATTCATTAATATATAAGACAGTCCATATTCAAATGTCTACTCTTGTCCCAAAAGTATCCTTTATAGTTCTATTTTTTTCTGATTCAGGATCCAATTGATGATCATATGTTGTATTTGGTTGACACATCTTTTTATTCTCCTCTAATCTAGAACAGATCCCAAAAACTTTTAGACTTTCAGGACATTTGTTGTTTTGTTTTTTTGTTTCTGTTTTTGTTTTGTAGGGACAGGGTCTCACTATGTTGCCTAGGCTGGTCTCAGACTCTGGGCTTCAAGCGATCCTCCCGCCTCAGGCTCCCAAAGCCTGGGATTACAGGCGTGAGCCACTGCACCCAGCCTAGACATTTTTAGACTCCAGGCCAGTAGTTTTTAGGATGCTTTAGCACTAGATTTAGTTGATTGTTTCCTCATGATTAGACTTACGTTAATCCTTTTGACAAGAGTTCTACGTAGGTGATCTTGTGTCTTTGTGTCTTTCCCATACTTTGAGACTATGTGACTATTCTGTTCCCCCAAAATCCTTCACCAATGGATTCAGCGTCAATTTATGACCCTTGCCTAAATGAATTATTATACTGGAGGTTGCAAAATAGTGATTACCTAATTCCTATCATTCCTTCTACATTTATTGGCACTCTACTATAAGAATGATCTTTTCAGCCAGGCACAGTGGGTCACGCCTGTAATCCCTGCACTTTGGGAGGCCAAGGCAGGTGGATCACCTGAAGTCAGGAGTTTGCAAAACAGCCTGGCCAACATGGTGAAACCCCATTTCTACTACAAACACAAAAAATTAGCCGGGGGTAGTGCTGGGCACCTGTAATGCCAGCTACTCAGGAGGCTGAGGCAGGAGAATCGCTTGAACCTGGGAGGCGGAGGTTGCAGTGAGCCGAGATCGTGCCATTGCACTCCAGCCTGGGCAACAAGAGCAAAACTCTGTCTCAAAAAAAAAAAAAAAAAAATCTCTTCTTTTCTCTCTACCACCCTACTCCTCTTTCTCTCCTTTTCTCTCTCTCATGATATCACTATGAATTTTTTTTATTTCATGTGTTCTAATCCATTACGATCACTATCTTCATTGATGCAGTTTATCCCAAATTTGTTCAGTGGGAGCCCCATTCACACCTCTGTCCTGCTGACATGTTCCCATCAGTCCTTGAGCATCTCCTTCCCTTCTGGCACAGGCTCATTTGATATCTTCCCTACCCCAGGTCTGGAATCAGCAATTTCTCCAAGGAACCCTGATTCCTTTTAGCAGGGGATAGTATTTAGAAACCAAGATGTGGGCACTCAGTACCCACTGTTTCTGGGCATCATTTCTTTGGCAGTCATTAGTAGATACTGATAGCTCCAAATAAAATCAAACTCTAAAGGATTTTTCTCATCTTCCCCCATTCCATATTTGTGTCTCCCTTCTCCTTCAGTGAGAACTTATTTCCCAATAACATCAATATATTTACTTATTTGTTCTGTCCTTCAATATTCAAAGCAGTTTCAGAATTGCTATACAACTGCTACTACCTATCACAAATCTATTAAGTAAAAATCAGCGGAGGTGGGTAGTAGGGGCATAAGGGATAAAAGACAACACACTGAGTACGGTGTACACTACTTGGGTGATGGGTGCATCAAAATCTCAGAAATCACCACTAAAGGCCAAGCAAGGTGGCTCACGCCTGTAATCCCAGTACTTTGCGAGGCCGAGGTAGGAGGATCACCTGAGGTCAGAAGTTCGAGACCAGCCTGACCAACATGGTAAAACCCCATCTCTACCAAAAATACAAAATTAGCCAGGCATGGTGGCACACGCCTGTAATCCCAGCTACTCAGGTGGCTGAGGCACAAGAATCACTTTGACCTGGGAGGCAAAGGTTGCAGGGAGCTGAGATTGCGCCACTGCACTCCAGCCTGGGCAACAGAGCAAGACTCTGTTTCTAAATAAATAAATTGCCCTTTCTTACATAAAACATAGAACACTGTATATACCCTTTGACACCCTGGGGCTTTTGTTTATTTAACTAATTTGGTTTTCTGGCTTTTTATTTAAAAATATGCCATAGAAATCACTCCATGAAACTGCGTAGAGATCTTCCTTTATTATTATTTTTAGTTTGTTTGAGACAGAGTCTTACTTTGTCACCCAGGATGGAGTGCAGTGTCATGGTCTCAGCTCACTGCATCCTCTGCCTCCCGGGTTGGGATTACAGGCGTGAACCACCGTGCCCATCTTATTATTTTAATTACTGCATTTGACTCCATTGCATGACTGGATTCCTGTAATTTATTCAACCAGTCTCCATGGGTATTTAGGTTGTTTCTAATACTTTGCTATTGCAAATAATGTTGCAGTAAATGACTCTGGCATAGTATTCTATATCTGTGGAGATCTTCCATGTAAATTCCTAGAAGTCTTGCTGGGTCAAGTAATATATACATACGTAATTTTCTTAGATATTGACAAATTCCCCTCCATGGGACTTGGGCCAGTTTGCCCTCCTGCTAGCACTGTATGAGGGATATTCTTGAAGCTCACCACCAGAGTGTTGATCAAACATTTGCATGTCTGCCAATCACATGGAGGAGAAATGATCTCTCAGTGGGGCTTACTTTGCATTTTGCTTATTATGAGTGAAGTCAAACATCTCTCCATATGTTTAAGAGCCATCTGTATATACTTTTCTGTGAACTGTCTACTCATGTCTTTCCCAATTTTTCTGTCAGGTCTTGGTTTTTATTCTTTTCCCTATTTTAAAAAATGTTTTCTCTCTATTGGGAAAATTAGTCCTTTGTGATATCTCTTGCAAATCACTTCCCCCAGTTTGCCACTTGTCTTTTGACTCTGCTTGTGGTGTTTTTACAGGCAAAAAAAAAAAAAAAAAATTAGGTCAGGTGCGGTGGTTCACACCTGCAATCCCAGCACTTTGGGAGGTCGAGGAGGGAGGACTGCTTGAACCCGGAGTTCAAGACCAGCCTGGGTAAGACAGCGAGCCTCTGTTGCTACAAAATATTTTTTAAATGCACCTGAGCATTTTTAATGCTCATTTTAATGCATGGTGGCATGTACCTGAGGTCCCTGCTACTCTTACTTGGGAGGCTGAGGTGGAAGGATCACTTGAACCCAGGAGATTGAGGCTGCAGTGAGCACTGTCTGCACCACTGCACTCCAGCCTGAGTGACAGAGCAAGACCTTGGCTCAAAAAAAAAATTGTTTTTTAATGTGGGTGAATGTAATAATCTTGCATGCATCTGAATTTTTAGGCATAGTTTTTTGTTTTCTTTTTTTGTTTTGTTTTAAGGGAGGGCTTTTCCCATATACAGAGCCTTGTTTTCTTCTAGGATGTGTATGATTTATATTTTCACATAGAGATCTCTGATCTGCTTGGAGTTTATTCTGATATATGATGTGAGGAATAAATATACTTTGATATCTTTCAAAATTGCTATCCAGATGTTCTAATACCATTTATTAAAAATTCATGGCCGGGCACAATGGCTCATACCTGTAATCCCAGCACTTTGGGAGGCCAAGGCAGGAGGATCACTGGAGCCCAGGAATTCAAGACAGTAAGACCCCATCTCTATTTTTAAAAATTTGTTTAATTTAAAAAATTCATAAGAAAACTATTGTTTGATTTTTTTAAGGTGTAAGAATAGTAGTATAACTTTTTAAAAGAATCCTTTTCAGTTGAGCCCAGTAGTTTATGTACACAATGAAACACTTACAGATGCAATCTATTATGGCTGAGATGTACTCCAAAACAATGGAGGAGAGAGGGAAGTGGATGAAGGTATGGATGAAATAAGATTATGCATGACTTATTAAATGTTGAAGTGGGGTGCTAGGTGATAGAGGTTCAGGATATATTTTTAAATTTTTTCATAATAGAACATTTGTTTAGCCATGAGATGGTAAGATTTGAATAGCACCTCACAGGACTGCTGTGAGAATTTGGTGAGATGGACACAGTGCCTGGCACACCACACAGCAGGTGCTCAATAAAGGTTAGATCCTTTCTGCTTTCTCCTTCCCCAAACAGGCCAGGGAACAGCACCCCACATGGCCCCATAGCCTCCTAAACTATCCTCTGGCAGGTGGGCAGCATTTTAGACTGACACCCACAACCTACTGGGGAAACAGACAACTAATGGGGCAAAGGAGTAGCATTTGGGGACAGGA